GTGGCCATATATATCTACAACCACATGTTTTTTGTGTCTAGACACCTATGGATCCATAGGGTATTCCATGGACAAACACTATGGATTCATATGGTAGATACCTGTTTGTCCACAGATATAGCATGTATTTGTACATAGCTACGGGTATAGCTGCATACATGCTGGGAAAGCAGCGGACAATACAAATACTTTTGGAAATCTTGGAAGGTCTCTACCGAGCGCAAAAGACAATACAAGGAATTCGCCTACCGGGCTACGTGGCGACTTTGGCACAACTACCACGGCGTCGATAGGGGAACGGATCGTTCCTCTCCCATCTTTTGGGACAGCAATGCACATCTTTTGGGACACAGAAAAAGGCACTGACAATCCATACACTCTTCTAAACAATTTAACAACCTTATACTCAACATTCTGAGACCCTTTTAGAATGGGGTTTACGGTACCCAACACAGCAGCAGTAAGGACACACCGCGGGAAATCCCGTAAATCTGCTGTACCCGCGTTCGGAATTCCGCGGGTTAAACCCGCAAATATACGGCATCGATCGCGAGTCCCCCTTACTGCTGCTCTTTAACACAGGGATCCCAACAGRGAATATTGCATTGTTTGCTGAATTAATTCCCCACTCTACATGTTACATTTTTATATCTCCCCCTGTGGACTCCCTGTGTTTGGATCCCTAACCTCTGCATGATCAAAAGAGCCATTTAAAAGAAACGTTTCTGTATTGTATCAATTATACACCTCGATGCATATGCATGAATTCCACGCAAGGTCGATTTTTTCTCCCCGCTACGCCGCTTGACTTCATCAGTTCGGTTAACGTTTTCTTTCGGGGTTTATTTTTTGCCAAATATCACTAAGAACTATTCTATCACCTAAGCAAATAATATAAGCTGTATTGATGGTTTTCAAGGCCGCCATGTTGGATGAATTTAACAAAAGATTCGTCATTAGTCTCTTTTGTTATATCATCCAATATGGCCGCGGCGCCGTGTCTTTTGTTATTTCATTCTCTTGGGAATGAGTGAAAACGGCCAGTAATAGTTCTTAGGATAACTGACTCTTTTGAAAACCACTTGAACGACGAAGACTGAAAATTCGAAATGAGAAAACGAAATTTCTTGGAATTAGGCCAAGCAAATTATGAGCCGATTCTAATGCAAATGAGCAAAAAATGAGCTAGTATTGTTTGAATTCATTTGGGCCTACATTACTCAGTGGGAGTTTAGTGAGTAATTGTGGGGTACGGTAGACTGAACAAACAACTTCGCTTTGATTGGATAACCAGCATTGGTCATTATTTATTTAACAGCTTTTACCAAGAATTCTATATTCTATTGATTCTATTCTTTAGTTATAACAACATTCTTCTTATTCTGAAATGCAATGTCGAATTTCATTCAAAAAAGTTGTTTTAAAAGTTTTGTCAGCCGGAGTAGAACTGCTAATATTGTGATGCATAGTGCAAAAAACTGAAGTGTGCTTACATACTATGGGAAAAATTAAACATGTGTTGCCCGATAGGATGAATTCACAGTAAAAGTTAGACAACTTGTATATAGACCCCCTGCAGGATATATTCCCAATGCAGTCCAAGCCAGAGGACAAAACAACAGAACCTTACTCTCATGGGAACTGAAATTCCTCTGAGTTGAACGACTCTGAAACCGGTCTATAAGACGGAGCATGCAATGCAAGGAGCGTCCTTTTGCAGTTCAATTATAAGGCTCCCGTATTAACGGGAAGATAAAAAAATAATAATAATAATAATAATAATAATAATAATAATAATTATCAAAAAAAACCAACATGAGCTTGTCGGCTGAGTGGTTTGTTCTTCTTTGGGCTTGATGTTACTGATGTTACTGATGATTGCTTCCACCTTTTCAAGTACTTCTTCTGCATTGGGTCTGTTCCTGGGGTTGTAATCTAGCATATCACGAAGCAGTTCCTTCGTAGAGCGTGGCAATCCATCCAGCGGCACCATAATATTACGATCACTTTTCATCGCCATGCCAAGGCCGATCTCTTGGCCACGGGTGTTGACAAATGCTCCGAAGTATTTCTTGTCACCAACGATCAGGCTCTTTCGCTCAACAATGGAGTAGAATATCGTACCGAGCGAAAAGATGTCTGCTTTCTCCGTATAGTGTCCGTCAGACACCTCGGGTGCCATCCATGCACCTGATCCTGCGACTGTATTCATGTACATATTCATCATATAAGACACAAGGACTCTGTCTGATCGTCGGGCATTGTCTTGTTTGAGAGCTGCATACTCTCTGGCGAGACCAAAGTCCCCCATCTTGACGCACTCATCACCGGTCAGTAATACGTTTTCTGGCTTCAGATCTCGATGAACGATGTCCTTGGAGTGTAGGTAACACATAGCATCGGCCAACTCTTTCATCCATTGTAGGTTAGTATCGCTATCACTCGGTCTTGCTAGACGTGTGTTGAGATTTGCTAGACGTGTGTTGAGGTTAGTCCAAGAAATTCGGTTGTATCGGATCTGTAGAAATGTACGATATGCGGGTGGCTGCACTGGGTCAAAGAAGAGGGATCAGGATCACATGCTACTAATCAGGGTTCTCAGAAGAGGGATCAGGATCATATACTACTAATCAGGGTTCACAGAAGAGGGATCAGGATCACATACTACTAATCAGGGTTCACAGAAGAGGGATCAGGATCACATGCTACTAATCAGGGTTCACAGAAGAGGGATTAGGATCACATGCTACTAATCAGGGTTCTCAGAAGAGGGATCAGGATCACATGCTACTAATCAGGGTTCACAGAAGAGGGATCAGGATCACATACTACTAATCAGGGTTCACAGAAGAGGGATC